CCTTATATCTGTTTTTCAGTGATACAATTTCATGTTTCTTTACATATCGATGCACTTAATTATAAAGATAACATCTTTATAAATTTAACTGATACAGGGAAAGCTGAAAGTCTGTGCTATAACAATGTAGGCTTTGGATCAAATTTCACTCTTCAGTGTGAATAAGGAGCGGGTAAAATAAAATTTTGTCTCTGGTGCCTTGCTACTTATCATGCTTAAGCATTGAATCTGAGGAGATCAAGTACCCTTTGCAACATTAGTCTTCCCACTAACAGGATGACAAAAGTAGTGAAATAAAGACCAATAAAGTAAGAGAATAAGAAGGCTAAAGAAGCTTTTTATTGTTCCTCTCCCAATACAAAATATATAGATCCATGTAAGATAACTACAGATGACTGCAGCTGAAGAAGACATCAGAATTAAAAATACATTTTTAGAGATCATCTTGTCTATTTTATACCTTTTACTTTAGAAAGAAAAAAAAAATGCCCAGATTTTTGCCAACTATAAACTATAAACCCATCTCTAGCCTAAAAGTCCCTTCCATTAAGTTTCCTAAATAGAAATGTCTAATATTTATCTGACCACAGCTGCCTATCGTGAGGGGTGCATACTTCTTGTAAATCCTCCTCATCAGCAGTCTAACAATATCTCAGATATCCTGAGACATCTTTAATAACACTAGACACTGTATTTAGGTGACTGAATTTAAGTATTGCTTGTTTATTAACATTTACAGAGGTGAGTTGAAGTAAGATTTCACTTCCCCATAAAGTGAATCTTCATTCATTTTCCCACTGATGTTAAGATGCTCCCTTTTAACTTTCACACTATCAGTAGAATATTGCTAATTAATAAAGCTCAAACTGTCTGGGATATTTGTTTTAACCAGTAAATCATTTTCTGAGTGCGCTTATGATAACAGACCACAATGTGTTTGCATCTGCAAGAGAAGCTTGAAGTTCAAGTATTGAAACTAATGAAACTGAAACCTTTTACTAAAATGAATGAAAAGCACTGTGTATAGCATTTTCCTAGGAGAATCTGGTTTTCAGCATAATGTTATTAAAGCCTTGAAAAAACGTGAATAACAGATGATTGTGCTAGAATATTGTACTAACTGCCCTCCTTTGTAATTCATTATAATTAATAGAAGATGTATGCATGCAGAATTTGGGCAGTTTAGGAGATACTGAAATTCTTGGCAGAGAGATGAATAAGTATTCTACACAATAAGCAACACCTAAAGTCAACATACGGTTAAAGTAATGAATGTGAGACTGAAAGAGCAATGCAAAAAAAAATATGATCTCAAAAAAAAAACCCACCTAAATTATTACTATTTTGAAGATAAAGATGTGCAGTTTAATAGCAAAATTAAAATGGATTACGGAAACTGAATTATAGAAGGTGTTGGACCAGACCACCTCCAGACATCCCATCCAACTTCAACCCTCCTTTATTTCAGAGTCAACCTTCTATCTGAAATAAGTTGAAAGAATCATTTTCTCACAGGACAAACTTTTCAGGTTTATATAGTCACACAATGCCTAGCAACATTATGTTCTTAATTTGTATTCAATGAAGATAATTGGTGAAGAGACTAAGCAGAAGTCTCCACGACACCCTCTGTTGACTGCAAGAGACTGATGCTTCTGCTGGAATGCAAGAGGGATGTGTTTTGTCAACATATCCATGGTGGGACTCAGAGAAGAAAATCTTCAGGCTGTAAATCCTTTTAATGCACACCAGAGATTCGCATTTGTTCCTGTTCCTTCTGCCACACAGCTGTAAACATCTCATCTTGGTTTCATCCTTTTTCAATATTCATCCTATATTTTTTTCCAACCACAGGGAATCTGGTTTTCCCTGTTTTAATAAAGGCTTCATAGAGAAGATCTAGTGATCTGTGTTTCACAGGCCTGAAGAAAAATTATTTACTCAAAACCTGTCTAATATTTGTTTATTTCATTTTTGCAATAGGAGCACTTTTACACAGGTGGTGGGGAGAATAACATTGAAGAAAAAAAAAGATATTTGTTTTTTCTTCTTATTAACTACAATGAAATAATAGAATTGTTTGGGAAATCAATTTATAACACTAAAATCAAACATGCAGATAACAATTTTAAATACCTCTTTCTGCTTGAACTGTGGGATAGATTGATGAATTTATAGCAAGTCATGTACTGTTTGTTTATTTTCCATAAGTAAGGCACTTATAAATAGACATCCAGTTCAAAAGATTTGAATTTAGTGATGTTAGTGGTCATTGTGTTTTTAAAACAGATTTTTATTGTCTCAAGTGCTCTTATTGGAAATACTATGTATATTATAAAGATACAGTTTTTCTGAAGGTAAGGATTTAAGAATGTGACAGCCATGAAGAATTACCAGCAGGTTAGGAAGAACATGAGTTTTTATTGAATGTTGTGTGATAATTACCTGGATACTTATTCATATTCCAGTATACAGCAAAGTATCCACCTTCTTCACTGAGGACTAAGGCACCATGTTTTTATCATGTAGCCAAACTATGCATTCAAACACTCAGCTGAAATAGCCAATGTAAAGTGGACTCAGACCTTCATTTAGCTCCTTATTCCTATTCTTGAAGTACAGTTCAGTACAACGCAAAGTTCTTAAGCAAATGACCAGACTCAGTTACGTGTTTATGTCTCTGTTTATCTGCAGTCTGTGTTTGTAGGTGAGCACAACATATTTGTGTTTATGAATGAGCATACATTTTGTATTTGTATATATTTTAGAGATGCTTGATTTAAGATTATGGGACCAACATTTGCATTTCAATTCCTATTTTTTAAGAATTTATAAATTAATAATAGAAGGCTTTGCCAGGCTGAAATTCTGTTATGTCAGCAGTCTAGGAGATATTTTTTTCACAAAACTGTAAACAGAAATGCTGTGAACTCACTTATCTTTTTAACAATCTGAAAGTACAGAATAGATATTTTATTGGGTTTAGAATTTTATGGCTCCCACACACATTACCAAATAATTAAAAAAGGTGGGATTTTTGAAAAACATTAATTTTAGGACAATCATTTTAAGTTCTTACCAATGACATGCATTATTCCATTATCTTTTCCTAATGAAACTTCTGTCAATTGGGAAAATTTGTAGATGACGTCTACTAAAATTAGAAGATGAGCTTGCAGACACAAAATTTTGTCTAGAAATCCCAAAGTTTATGTATGATTCTTTGTATGATTTGTTATGATGTTATAGATAAGTCAGAAAGGCCTTCAAAAGAGAGCTGAACACCTAGAGTGAGATCTGTGAGTGACCATGCATCTCTCAGTAAGTTTACAGATGAGTACATAAGATCTTTTTGCACACCTTTACCTAGGTAAGTCTCAGATAAGTATTGTGTCCACCTAATTAAACACAGAGTGTGTCGTGCAGTGGTTGCTGATGTAATTTGGGTTAATGCACTATTACACTATAAAATAAAAACAGGCTGACCTGGTTATGTCCATGTTCTGAGTAACAGAGCACAAGGCAGATCTGGCCCAGGCACCAAACCTAGTAACATGCATCCTCACCAGAGGTAAAGCATGTTAAGCAGGGTAGATGACACATGGGCCGAAAAACCCTGGTTCAAAGCTAATTACTATCATAATCTTAGAATCATTAAAATTGGAAAAGACCTCCAAGATCATCGGGTCCAACATTTGACCAAACACCACCATGCCAACTAAACCATAGCACTAAGTCATTTCTTCAGCATTTCCAGGGATATCTTTTCCACCACTCCAATGCTTAACCACCCCTTCAGAGAAAAATTTCTTCCTGATGTCCGACCTGAACGTTCCCTGGCACAGCTTGAGGCTATATCCTCTTGTCCTGTCACTTGTTGCCTGGGGAAAGAGGCTGACCCTCACCTGGCTACAACCTCCTTCCAGGTACTTGCAGAGAGTGATAATGTCACCCCTGAGCCTCCTTTTCTCCAGGCTAAACAACCCCAGTTCACTCAGGTGCTCCTCATATGACACCCTCTAGACCCTTCACCAGCTCTGTTGTCCTTCTCTGGACACGATCCAGCACCTCAATGTCTTTCTTGTAGTGTGGGACCCAGAAGTGGACACAGCACTCAAGGTGTGGCCTCACCAGTGCCGAGTACACAGGGCAATCATTTCCCTGGTCCTGCTGGACACGCTATTTTTGATACAAGTCAGTATGCTATTGGCCACCTTGGCCACCTGGGCACACTGATGGCTCATATTCAGCTGGCTGTCAACCAGCACTCCTAGATCCTTTTCCACTGGGCCACTTTCCAGCCACTCTTCTCCCAGTCTGGGGGAATGCAGAGCATGACCAAAGCAAGCCCACATAGAATATGAGTATATTCCCAAGGCTGGCAAAGACTATTCTACCTAATGAAGTAGAAGAGCAACAGAACATCAGCAGTGGAAGGGACCCATGGGAGATATTTTGCTATATATGGTGCTTTTTTTTTTTATTAATTATGTGGTAAAAGCAGTGGGAAGCTTTTAGATGAAAAACAATGGCTTCAGAATAAAAGTATTCAATGTGCTAAAACAAGCAAGCAGAAAAACAATAGCAGAGAGTAAGGCAAGGCAGTAAACCAAAGGACTGGAGAACAGAGACAGAAGATTATAATCTTATTACACAGTATACCTTACTATATACTAACAGAGAACTGAAAAAGAATAAAACAAATTAAACAAACTACAGCTGTCTAAAAGAGCAGTCTTGTCTCTCTGCCTCCCTCTCCCAGCCATATACATTCAATTCTGATTGTACATGGCTATAATATGTGTTCACGCTAGCAGAAGACTTGTTCTATTTAATGGCCTGTCAAAGTCCATAAAGAAATGATGCATGTTTAATATATCAGAAGGAAGTTGTCTAGAGATCACACAGTTTATGCCTCATCTTAGCAAAGCGTACAAGATCAGAGTTATTAAGACACTTGCCAAATGTAGAACCAAAGTACTACTTGGTATTTGCCATACCTGAGGGTAGCTGTCAGTCCTTGGAAGAACAGATATATCATATGTGGCAGCAAAATGGCTCTTAGCTTGCTGGATCTGACCATAGCGTTCTCTTTTCCTCCATTTTGCTCTTCGATTCTGGAACCAAACCTATAGTATACAAGGAAGCAGTCATAATGTTAACTGAATTACATATTGCAAAGAATTTTAGGAAAAAAAACAATTGATTTTTGACAGTAGCTTTGAAAATTTCCATTTATCTAAGAAAGAGCAATTTCCACCTGAGAATTAAATTCTTACAGTTTCAGTCTTGTCAATGTTAAACCTGCTTAAGTTATTCCTGTCTATCTTGAAAGTACATATTATTTTCTTTCTATTACCTAAAAAAAAACCCAAACCAAACAGCCAAAAACAAAATCAAAAGCAGCAACCTATCTGAAAAAAAATCAGTCCATAGCAAGTCGAATTATAACTAAGCTTTCTTTTAATTTCCTATGCCCACTGACTTGCTATGCCTAACCATAATCTGCCTCTTAGGGGTGCACATAATCTTTATTAAGTGCAGCAATGAAAAGGCAGAAAAAACTGGCATCAGGACAGTAAAAACTGGCACTGCAGGAAAGGTTTCTATAAGGAAGGCTAAAAGGGTAGGAAGATAATAAAAATTCACCATGACACAGTTTTAAAAACATTGTGATTTTTTTTTCCGCAGTATTGTTAGGTGATATCTCTATGTGATAATGGAAAACTAAAGAATTGTACTTTACACTTAGACTATGAAATAATTTAGACTATGAAATAATTTAGAACTGAGTTCCTTCTTGTCAGCTAAAAACTAATTTCTTTATGCTTGAAGTTCTTTATAGCCTTTGGACTGTTTTGTAATATTTTGAGTGTCGGGTGTTATTTCAAAACCTATTATTTACACATTTCTTTCTTTTACTAATATCTTTTATTGTCCCATGGTTTTCAAAATTTATTTTTTGTTTCAGACATTTTAGTTTGGACTGGTTAAGACTTACGCTGATAAACTAAAGCAAGTCCTAAGAAAAGTAAAGCTGTATAAAAGTAATATCCAACAAGTCTTTATTGTTCTGGTATAAGCACACTCATTACGGCTTTTTTAAGAAGTCACTGTGCTAACAGAATCATTATTTTTTTAAAAGGAAACAATGTGATAGGTTAGTCTTCCTGCTAAATTGATCATTAATCAATATGGATGTATACATACTTGAACAGAGGGGTTTTTTTGTATAGACAATTCCTGTATTTTGAGGGATAATTTCTGATCCCAGATTCTGGAATAGTTAAAATAACCCTGTACTGTAATTCCATTCTTGCACTGATCTTTGGAGAACTCAACTGTCCTTTGATACTGCTTAAGCAATCAGGGCATAATTTTGCACATTCTCATTCTCAAGGACATGTTGCAGATTTAGCATGTGCAATCTCTTAAAGCATACTCAACAATCAAAGCAAGTCTCATGCATGTAACTCCCGAGTATGTATTGTTAGGGACCTTGTTGGTAAATTTGTGTTGTTTATGATGCCTGAGGTTCAACAAAAAGAAAAGAAAAGGTAAAAAAAATATTTCTCCTTTCTCCACAGGAGTCATCAGGGACAAGATAAGAGAATTTAGTCATGGGGTTTTTTCATTGAAAAAAGATCTTGACAATCTCTTTAAAATGGGTACCAATTACTGCACTGATATGCAGCAGGAAGAGAACAACTTAGATAAATTAGATTCAGGTTAGCTTTCTCTGCATGTGTGCAGGACAAATATTAAACTGGATGTTGATGAAATGGCAGTGAAGGGAACTGTGGGTAAGGTATCCAGCTGATCACTCTGCTAAACTAAATCAAACAATTTGCTTGAATTTATAGTAACTAAACAAGAAAAAAAGCCCACATTCTTTTTTCTTTGACAATCCCCAAAATGTTTCTGTTTACAGCACTTTACTAGAAACTGACTCTTGGCAGAGATAAAGTAACCATTTGCCTCCACAAAGCAATGTAGAAATCTGCTGCTTGTTATCCTTCAATTGCCAGATGCTTGCCTCTAATGACGTAAGGCCTTTTAAATTGCTTAATCTTGTGATGGAATACTCTTGTTACTCTGGGCAGAAATGATCACCATGTCCTTTCATATTTAGCATATGAGAAATGCAAAGATCCATAATTTTTAAGAAAGGCAAGAGCATGTTAAAATAAGATAGAATTAGAAATTTGTGAAAATCTGGTACAGACACATATATTTTTCATTTACTCCCTTTTTTGAATACTCTTGCTATATGAAGCCTCTAAACCTTAAAACAAAAAGGAGATTAAAAAGTCCATTGACACACTGTAATCCAATCCTCCTCTCCCTCTTCTGACTATTAATTTGTTCTTGAAGTAGTTCTCTTTATTCCAGAATTATGCATTTGTTAGAACAGTGTTTTAGCATTATGAAAGCTTTTTTTTTTAAGTCAAGACTAAATGGCAGTGAATGGAAATCATACTTGGAAAGCTGTACCAGATTCAGAGGGAGAAGGATTGCACAGAGCCTGAAGAGTTGAAAGCCACTGAAACAATTCTCTCCGCATTGCTGATACTGCATCAGTGTAACTGAACACAGAGTTTTGGACTCTATTTTCTGATGACAGTGAATATGATGTCTGGTTTAACAAACATGAAAAGAACACTTCTTTATAAAATTAATTAGCTGACTTTGTTTCTGAAAGTGATCCTGGTTTAATTTCAGTTTGTATGCATGTGCACTGATGTCTATTTCTTTACATGCGTGCGTGGGTATGTGTTTCATTACAAGTTGTGAAGTTGTTATCGTATTCAAGTTACTAAATTAAAAAAATTAATCCCAGTCTGCAAGAATCAACAGGAGTGCTATTCTCTACATTGAAGTGATGATTGTTACCAGAACAGGGAAGATATCTAAAATAAGGATAAACTTGCAAAATGTGGCTCATACCCTTTCCTTATGGAAGATCTCTATAAAGGGGAAAGGCTGCGTTTCCTGGATACTTAGCTTCTTTTCTCACTATTACACATCCAAAGCAATTAATATTGTTGAGATTACTGTACGAGCACATACTGAATGAATCACGTTTGTACACAGTGAAGATACTCAAATAATGCACTAAGTGATCAATAGTATTTTTCATCGCAAGAACTAGAATAATGTTATTTATCAGTTATGCAAGTTTAAAAATCAGCAAATGTTCCTCCTAATTTTGTGATTTCTAACATCATTCCACACAACAGAGATTAAAGGATTGCTTTACACAGGCTAAACATATATATATATAGGCACACACACACACACACACACACTTATGTATGTGCATTTTCACTATATAGTCTTTGGAAATTAAAAAGAAATGTGATTACTTTTTAGACTGTACTTTTCATACCGTAACACACAGAGAATCCTCTGTGTCTGGGTTCTGCATCTCAATCTGAACTACACGCAATATGTCTCTTTAATGGGATCTTTACATATAACAATTTACATATTCACTGCCTGGTGTTCTACAAGAGATCAAGACAGCTTTACTATTGATGATGTTTTCTCATCCTTTAAACAAGTTTCTACAACAGCAACACAAGCTATTAAAAAAAAAAAAAAAACAAGTTATTTCAGTACTGCAGCTCATACCCATGAAGAAATAAAGCAAAATGAGCAGTTTAGTTTAGTTTTGCAGGCTTTTGTACGATCCCCAGGAGTTCGTTTACCAGTGCCTACAATACACATTTTGTCATGGAAATACTGAAGTTTGGTTCCTACCTGGACTCTGGCCTCAGTGAGCTCTGTTCTCAGAGCTAGCTGTTCTCTTACATAGACATCAGGATAGTGAGTTTTCTGGAATACTTTCTCCAGTTCCTCCAGCTGCAAACTGGTAAAAGTTGTTCTGTGTCTTCTCTTCTTACTGCTGGAGACATTGCTGTCACACTTATCACCAAGTTCATCCAGGTCCCCCTTCTCCTGCATCCCTTTCACTGGAGACATCCTAAGATTATTGCAATTGTCCATGGGCCTGCTCAGCTCTGTGTGAAGAGGCTGTCCTTCCACTTTAGTAATCCCGTAGTTCACTGTACACAGGGTGGGTTAACAATGGGTTAATAACTGGTTAAATAACTGATTAAGGGGGTAGGGGGACCAGGGAGTGAGAGTAGGGAGAGAGGCCAGGGATGTGCGGGGGGTTCGATTCAGGAGTTTATATAAAACAGTTTCACAAGGAACGTGATTCTAGGAGGCTGTGTTATTCCTACACGAGATCATGGAGGAGGAATTTGTAATATTAACCACAGACAAAATAAAAGTGCTAAAACACATTGAATTTTAACTGAGAATTGTATCTGAAAATATCATCTAAAATCCTTCAAAGTAAGAGGACTGCACAAGAGTACTTGGAGTACTCTTCCATTACTACCACTAAAGTAGTTAATAATCCATGAAATTGGTGTCAAATAAAGTTGCACAGATAAGGAATCTTAGCCCAAATCATATTTTCATAGAAGTGGCACAGATTATTGATAAATGTGCCTTTAAACTTGGAAGTAAATGGAAAAACTTCTATTTTTATGAAAATAAAAAATAACAGTGAAATAAACTAAATAGCTCTAAACTGACAAATCAAGAAGCGAGTGAAAATGAAAATTAACTTCACTTTACAAGCTTAATAAATTCCATATACCTTCTCTTGGATTTGTAAAGTGGAATTGTTTCCAATTAGGTTTGTTATGGTTACAAAATACAGAGCATTTCTGCAAAATGTTAACTTATTAAAAGAGATCACTTCATATACTTTGTATAAGGATTGAAGGAACTATTTGTCTTTAGGTAAAACCTGAGTGGTAGAGACAAGAAATATTCTGCAATAGGTTCTTAATGGGAAATTAAAAGATTTCCCATTTTTAAATATTTTTATTTATCTCACATCACTGGAAATGTCATAAGTTATAGTATTCAAAAAAGCTTTCTTTTTTCTTTTCTCAGAAAAAGGTGAAAAAAGTTTAAAACTCCACAGAAATTAAAATCTACAAAGATGGCATGTAACATATTATAGGAAGCTTGCTGTGGGATTTTCCCACATTCTCAATAATATTTTTTTTCAATCCGAGCTGATGATAGCAAAACAAAATTTTTAGATATTTACCATCAACAAATACATAGATAGGAAATGCCCCAAAGCCCTCCAGGCACCCATTAAATTAGCTAATTAAGAAAAACTTGAACGTATAAATCAATTTTCTGTAGTTTGGGGTTTTTTTAAGTGGCACTTGCAGAAATCTGTCATTATTTCTTAGAAATTTTTTCGTACGAAAAAAGGCATGTTTTCAATAAATATATACTTCAATGACTATATGAAGTCAAAAACGATATTGTTAGTCACCTTATTGCAGCTGATCTTAACCATGTTTTCCGATTCTGCTAGGAAATTAATTTTTCAATTTATTTTCTATATGCAATTTCCATCATGTTGGAATAATGAGGAAAAATTTTAAATGTCTCAAAAATAAAACCCTCCACATTCGCCTTGCCTATTGACTAGAAAAATATAATAATTGGTGGAATATTTAACATTATTATTTGGATTGCCTACATCATTTTCGGAGGAATCACCTTTACGCATTACTTGATAACACGGCAGAGAGAACCCCGCTACCCCCGCAGGACGGTATTTGAAAGAAGCAAACAGGACCAGATGACCTTCTGTCCCCCTCCTGCAACGGCACCGGAGAGCCGGCCATGTCTGGTGTCCCTCTGACACCGACACCCGGGGATGCTTTCCCCGCGAGTTTGCTGGGTGAAAACGCCTCTGCCCGCAGCGGGGGCGAGGGTGCCCGGGGTCCGTCCGAGGGGGCGACCGGGAGCCGACCGGGTGGTGCCAGAGGGCGACCGGGAAGCGACTGTGCCCAGCAGCACCCTCTGGGATCGGTCGGGACCCGCCGGCCCGTCGGTGCCCCGGGAGCGTGGGCTCGGGGCCGGGCGGACCGTACCGGAGGGCCGGGTACGGTGTTCCTCTGCAAGCCGAGCAGAGGCCGGGAAGGAAGGCAGTAGCCAGAGGGTTGCACTGAAAGGAAAAGAGTTCTTTACAGTAGACAGTTGCCTTCTCCCTGTATTTTTTTATTATAATAATAATTATTATTTTAATTATTATTGGTTTTGTTATTATTATTTTACTACGACCTAACAGCCTAACATGCCTGCACCCAAAGGCTGCACAGCTGCCTTTAGTCTCCCTGGGCAGGAGAATCCCTGCCCTCCCCTGTACATCTCCAGGAGAGAGAATAACTTCGGAACGACGACTCACCGTTGTCCTGGCAGGGTGATGTCCTCTCCAGCCTCACATGATGCTCAGCCCTTTGCAGAGGATTGAAGGCCTGTACACATTTGCTGCCTGACGTTTTGCTATAAAAGGATTCATTGTCCAAAGTTTCCATAACGTGCTCCAAAGTGCCTCCTGCTCCCATGTAAAAGTCACTGTTCTTGCTCGGCTGGCTCTTCAGGGCAAACTTCTCGCTCAGAAAATCCATAATCATCTAAGGCTGCCTGAGAGCCTCTTCCCTAGACAGAGGCTGGACTGTGAACAAGGGAGGGAGAGTGAGTGGATGGGAGGGAAAGTAGGGAAGGAAAGGCATTCAGAGCTCAGGGAGCTGTTTTGCCTCCGAGCCTTTGATTTGTCTTGTCTTGAAAGGGGGGAACCGAAGTTGCTCTTATATCTTGAAGCTCAGCAGGACTTCTTATGCAACCTCCCATTTCTAATGAATATGAAAATAGGCAAGAAGTCTAACTCCACCCCAGGTCCCTCAAGATCTAATCCCAACACAGGAGGGAGTTCCAGGCCCATTTTCGACAGACAGATCTGTTTCAGACACACACACACACACACACACACACACACACAAGCGTTAGGGGAGGGTGAGGGGAGATAGGGAGTGAGGAAGGGAGGACAGATAAAAAGGACATTTCCTTTCTGCAACCTCTTCACATTTCTCCAGGGATCCTTGAACGAGAGTAAACCCTCGCTTCTATCCCTCTCCCCCCAGCTCCCCGAGAGGCTTAGAGCAAGATAATTTCAGGGGCACATACCCTCAAGTGAAGGGTCTTCTTTAATCGATTTGACTGATGCGTCGGTAGCTGCAGCCCTGTTCTCTGAAACTGTAAAATTAAGAACCGGTGTTCCTTCTTTATTAAACAGCTCAGAAATCTGTCCTAGGGTTAAAGAGAGAAAGAAATATTATAGGCAGTTGCTTGTGTAGAGGCAATGGAAAACAGAGAAACTTAAAACTAGAAATCTCTCATCAGAAACCAGCCTAAAAGAGAGTTTGTCTGTCATGAAACAGACCTCATCCAGTCTGCTTCTCTGTCTGTGTTTGGGGGCTGCGTGCGTGTGTGCAAAGCGTTAAAACGGACCTTTATTTTAAATCTGAAATATTACTACCGAGTTGGAAAAAAAAAAAAAAAAAAGAAAGAAAATATTAGTTTCTAAATGAAAATATTTTTCAAAAAGTCTTAGGTGATAAAATGGAAAAGAAATGAGCCATGTATGGATGCATTCCTGTGGATATTGGAAAAACGAGTAGTTTTCACATAAAGTGTGAACTTTGAAGTGTTGAATTCCATGGTCCTTTCACACATTGATAAGATTTAAAACACAGTCGAGAGATAGGAGACTATTTCGAAAAGAGTCTGAATTACGGAGAAGGGCTTCTTCCTGATTCCTCGTGTAAGGAGTACTCGGTGAAGTAAAGTAAACCCGAGACTTCAATCAGCATCGTGGGCCCGCGCTTGTTTGTTCTACTGAGTCTGTTTTAAAATCCAATTCAGTGGGCCCTTCCCCCATTGGGGCGAGGAGGGGGAGAAGCAGCGAGGCTTTAATGAGCGGCTGAAGTATCAGTGCAACAATGGCCATGGGGGCTTGTGGAGCGGCTTAGAGACCTTTCCTGTGAACCCAACCAAAGGTGAAGGGAAAGACCAGTTCAGGTCCAACGTATTTCTCCGCGAGAGGCTTCCCTTCTTTCTTCAGCTAACCTCTAATTTAATGTTTTCCCGGAAAACGGGGTAGCTAAGCGAGGGATGCTTGTTTCATCCACAGTCGAGTAGCTGCGGGCATCACCCACCACACGCACAACCTGCCCTTCCCTGCCATCTGTCAGAACCAGGCTGCCACCCCCGCAAGTCCGTCTTGTTTCACAGCGTTACCTGCCGCCACCACGGAGCCCCTTCGGGACAGAGAGCAGAGGTGGTGCTCGGGGACTTGGGGTGGCCGGTGTGTTTTGTAGGGTGGAGTGTCGCTTTGCTCTCCTGTGGAGAGGGAGAGATGGAAGAGGTTCCCGTAAGCCTCCGGGAGACGGAAAGATGAAGGAACGCGGGGAGCGAGCGGTGCCCTCAGTGTGCGGCCAGGTGCGGCGAAGGGGCAGCTCGCTGCCTGCCCGGGAGAGGGGCTGGACACGGCCCCGGGAGCCGCTCCAGGGGAAGTTCCTGCCCCCAGATTTCTCTTGAAAACGACGTGTATCCTCCTTGAACCTCCTGGAGCAACGCCTGCTCCGGACCCGGCGAAATAGATCTTCTCCCTGCCCCCGCATCTCCGTGTGCTGGCACTTCGGCAGCGTGTTTATAACTGTGCCTTAAAAGCACTAAATGCCTTGGGGGGAGGGGAAAAAAAAAAAAAAAGAGAGAGAGGGGAAAAAAGGAGCTCTAGATGTATTTTAAATGAAAGACACATGCAACGTTTTTTGCAGCTTGCAATCCACTTTTATCCCAATAAGTATCCCTCTTTAAAGACAGCTATTAAACTCCAGGATAGCCGAGGACAAGGAGCATCTCCTGTGACCGTGAAAAACCGAGAGGCTCCCTAACGAGGCCAGAGAAAGCGTGGTTGCCTGCCACGGGGACACGCGTGTCCCACTGGCTGCGAGGAGCGGCCTCGGCGGTGGCGGCGGTCGGTCCCCTCGGGCTGGCCCGCAGCCTCAACCCCGTCGCTCCCTCCCCTTCCCGGGACGATCTGGCCACCCTGGCGGTGCTGACCCGCGGGGGGCGGGAGGCGCCGGCCTCAGCTGGGGACCGGGATGGGGACTGAGGCTACCGCGTCCTCTGTGCTCTTCACCCGCTCCCCGCTCCGCTGAGAAAACACGACCCTCCCGCATCATCTTCACCCCAGCGGAGACTCCGCTCGCTTGTCGTCCCGTCTTTGTGAAGCGTTCCCCGCCAAGATTAGGGCCGACATTTATAGAAATGCGTTTACAGTATCTGAGTATTAGAGTGCAACACAATTTATAACCGGATCTTAGAATCCGTCCCTCTTCTACAGGAAATAAATAAATAAATAAATGAAAATCAGAATGGTTCCACATCAGGGACCAAATTCTGCTCTCATTTTCCTCTGTGCAACCCAGCGGACTTCAAAGGGAAGGAGAGATGTAACCTAGGGGAGAATTGGCGCCATGTATGGCAATCCTTCTCCTTAAAAGCTTGAAAACAGAAAGCTGACTTCAGCGAGCTAAAATCATTTGAGAGGGATTGGACAGATCCCGGGGGAGAAGGAGGCAAAGGAAAAAAAAATTCTGTGCTGAGGTGAGACAGCTTTGAAAAGCATCTTTCTTCAGGGACCGACTCCCTCCACCAGGCAGCCCGGTTATTAAGAGCTGCATGCAGATGTGCCGCTGTGTTTCCAGAGATGGAGTATCTCCTAAACCTTCTGTGAAAGGGTGTTATGTGTGATGGAGAGACATTTCGTGGCGAGAGGTGGTGTGAAGGAGCTTGCCCCTGCAGTGCATAGGAGCTTCTCCGAGGAAGCCTGTCCACTGGGACAAGCCGGGCGCGCATATCACGGGAGGCTCCTCGGCACCACTGGGCTCTCCTGTGGGGACGACGGGCTGCCTTCCCCCCGCCGCCCTCGCATTCCTTCTCTTCCTGAGATCAGAAGTTACAGACCAAGCGTAGGAATGAGGATCCCGCATAAATTGCAGGCGTCTCACTGGCGAAAAGTCCAGGAATTTGGGTGAAGTGTGCGAGTGCGGTGCCGGACCTGCACTGTCCGCTTCTGTGTCCTCAGCCGCTGCTGTAGTGCTGCTCGGCGTGGCAGCTTCCAGCCCGAACTGGGCTACTGTTTGAGGGATCTCCTCATACTCTTGCGTTTGTTTAAATAAAGTGAGAACGGTATCAATACCTTCCAAATGCCCAGGAATCCGAATCCCCTCCCGTGTCTTCTCCCCATTTCTATACCGGTTTTTAACTATGGATCTCAGTACAGAAAGAAGATTGCTTCTTTTAAGTCTGCTTTACACTAATGCTTCTCTTCCCTCCAGAAAAGTTACACCACCAAATGTTTTTATGGATTGACTGAGATTAAATTCGTGCTACCTTGGACTGACCTAAACGAATTTTGGGGGTACTGTTCACCTTCTTCCACATACGTACGTTCCAGTTATCCAAGAAAATGGAAAGTGAAGCTATGAAGATGAGAGCTGGGTGTTCCCTCGGGGGAAAGGTGGGAGGTGAGGGGTGGCTGAGGGCTGAAGAAGGGGAAGAAAGGAAGCGATGCGTTCTGTTGAATGGGATCAAGCACCCCAATAGCCTCCGGGGGAAAAGGAAGGTTCCTGAAACACGAAGAGAACTGTCTATCTCTAAAAACAGGTGCTCAAATGGTTTAGTATTTCCACTAGCCCTCTGTTTTCTTTGCTGAGGCTTTACCTAGCAGCTCATTTCACTTTCAGATCCGGAGATTTTATTGCACGAGCTGGATGCAGGCTCCACAGAGACCCCTCGAGAAACCAGCACTTCGGTCTCCACCACGCGGTCCTAGGAACCGACCTGACCTGCGGAGGCAAAAAAAAAATGTGTAAAAAGACATTCCGCGACTCGCTCCATATCTCTCTCCCAGTGGAATGTGACAAATTGCAAATTACAGATTCAAAACCTAGCGTGGCTGAGTTATAATTTTCCAGACATCCTGTTTGTGAGGATAATGTGAAATATTGCTGCTGCCAGTAAAAAGAAGTGCATTGCCTCTCAATGAACACTGAAAGAAGTTGAGTTTTGGGGACGGTTGGATTTCCTTTATATTATTTTTTATTATTATTATTTATTTTAAAGCATGTGAAGCATCACTAATTTAATCCCTGAAAATAAAGATTGTGTTTCGGATTTCTGCAGCTAGGCTGCAAAGAGTTCCCGATCCAAGCCCCTTTTAACGAACTTTCTTCCTAACAGGCAGGTTTTGTTCACCTGACCAAACAAACACAAATCGCTTCTGGTGTACGTGCGTAGCTTTAAGATTTTCCGTTTGGAGAGGAAGTGTTTAATTGACACTGTTTGGAGTGACTTTACTAAAAACCTGGGATCTGTAGTTTCAGAGTGAAAGTGTAAGAGCAAATCGACTACTCTTCTACTAGGCAATTTAATGTTAATTCTGTGCGGGCAGCGGAAGAGTTGTTGAGCCCCGTTCACCTCGCACAGGGAAAGCGATGTCTCATTAGGTGGGCCTGAGCCTGGAGCCTTTCTCACTTTCCAGCCAGGCTCGAGGTTCAGACTTTCCCAAGTTTAGTACACAAACCATCCCAAACGTAACGACAGCAATCATTTCACGGTTCCTGTAGTTTGGCGCTTTGACAATACCTCAGCTGTTTGGGAGGTTTCCTGTATGACACCTGCACGATTCCATGTCCCTCAA